GCTCGTTAATGCCCCCAGTCCTTGCCTGGAAGCGTATCACACATATCCCTTGGCTAAATCTCCTCCTCCGAACCCCGGGGTAAAAAGCGTGCCATTCAATACAAGCGGAGAGGGGAGCGTTGTAGGAGGGGGGGGGGGAAGGAAAGAAAAGCGCGACGGGGTCATTTACAAACAGGGAAGAAGAGCTCCATCAGCCTCAACGCACAGAAAGCCTCTCCCACTCGTGCTGCTGTTACTGCTTCGGCGCTGTTTGCAAATCACAGGAAAGAAACCCACACAAGCTGGAAGGAAAGGGAGAGGGGGGCTCACCGGCTGGTTAGTAATAAGTCGGAATAGACACCCGCCCCCCGTCTCTCCCCTGCCACCCACCTACCTCCCTGTGCAGGTGGTGCAAAAGAAGCCCAGGTCAGTCGCTCCCGAAAGCTACGCCGCGGCTAAGCCTGCCTCAAAGCAGGCGTCGCTGAAGCACCTTGCAACAGGAGCAGCCGCCGCCGCTGTGGAAGAATGCGGGAGGCAGAGGAGCGAAGAGGTGCAGGCAGAGCGCCAGAGCCTTCCGAGGAAGCGAGTCCACTTTTTGCGAGCGGAGCTGCCCAAACAAAAGCGGCTCCCGCCGCAGAATTCAATCAACGGGAGCTTTTTTCGCCAAGAGGCGCTGCTGGCCCGGCCGCCTTACCCGAGAGAGGGAGGGGGGTGGGTGGGAGTTGCCAAGCCCGGCTGTCGCCTTCCTTCTGCTCACAGCGGCTGCAGGAGCAGCAAGCAGCAACTACTGTCGCCGTCCCATGCCGCGGCTCCCGCGGCCCACCAGCTCCCGCCGCCGCCGCCCCCAGCCTGCCCGGCAGCAGCGGCAGCAGCCTCCGACTCCGCTACTCAACGCCATTGCAGGCAGCGGCAGACCAGACGCCGCGCGCGGGGTGGGGGGAGGAAGGTTCCCGCGCTCGGCTTCAGCGTGGCGCCCCGCTGCCCGCTCGGCCTCCAGGGGAACCTCAGGCGAGCCGGGTGGCCCTCCGGAGGGCGCTCTCGGGAGCCTCCGCCTCGGCTGGGCCGCCCTCGGCCGCTCGGGGCCAAGAGTGCCTGACAGGTGCCTCACCTCCGCGGCGAGCCTCAATGGTTTGCCCCGCTGGGACGAGGGAGGGGGGGAAGGTGCGAAAGCCACGCTGCCACTGCAGGCCGGCAACGGGGAAGCCCGGCCGGAGCGGGAAAGAGCAGACGCGCCGGGCTTCCACGGCCACCGACCTCGCGGGAGAGCCTGGCCCGCCGCCCGCCAGCCTGCCCTCAGACCCCCAGGTCTGCGGCGGAGTCGGAGACCCGCGTTCTTCTTGCTGTCCTGGCCAGGCAGGCGGGAAGGCGATTGATTTGAGCCGCCAGGGTGCTTCTACCCGCCTCCTATTCAACGAGCGCCCAGAGGGCATTCAATGCTCCACAGATCACTCTGTCGCCCTCAGGCCCATAATTCTCGCGTTTACTTCCATTATTTTCTTTCGGTTTTTGCTTTTCTCTTTTTTTACACACGGGGGGGGGGGGAGCACGAATCTCATCCAGAAATAGCCCTTGGTCCAGAATAACTCGTGGGAACGCATGCTCTCCGCGTTTCATTTCAGACTCTGGCAATATCCACCAATGAATCTAGATTCCAGATAGGTGGCCCTATTAGTCTGGAGCAACAAAATAAAACGGGAGCCCCCTGGTACCTTACCTGGTTAGTCTTTAAGGAATCACTGGACTCCTGTTTTATTTTGCCAATTAATGTAATTATCTTTCGAGGAGGTGAGTGGTACTCGTTTAAATCACTGGTGAACGGCACAGGCTGCCTGGCTCCCCCACAACTACCATGCTGCATGCTGATGTTTGTGGAAATTCAGCCTCAGATTCCTAACTCTGAAATCTAGATGAACTGGCAAACTCAGGCACTATCTGTGTGGTTGGTTTCTCAGGATTACAATTTCAAGGTCACCTAACAGACAGCAAGCTTGTGGACAAATTGATTACATAATTCTGCACTGCATGACAACCAACCTGATCCTTGCACCTGTTCTGAAAAAAGACAGGAAATCTGAAAAAGTGATGTCTTCTTTAAACGACAAGGCTGCATGCATGCTTACCTGGGAGTAATTCCCATTGTTCTCCAGGGAACTTCTGAGTAAGCATAAGTAGGATCAGGCTGCATAAGATCAAGGTAGACCTTGGTTCATCACATTCTTCATACAAATAAATAAACGGGGGAGGGGGGACTGGACCTCAGTCAAGCCATGATCCAATCAAGGGCTTGATTTGATGGCCACTGGCTTCAACTGACATTTGGTGCACAGAGGATGTCTGGGCTTAGTCAATGGGGAGGAGTGACATTAAGGACGTGAAGAACTGAAGGTTCAACCAAATGCAGGGGGCACCCTACATTAGCATTTCAGTATCCCACTGTTTAAGCCAAAAGCCTTCATAAATCTAAATTCAAATATATGTTGCAATCTATATATTAAAATCTTTTCAAAATAAAACTTGCAATCCAGAAAAAAATGTTACCTCATTCTCTTTAGCCTCCACAACTGGGTAAAAAAGCTGTTTTCTGTGCAGTTTCACTATAATTTTTACTTTCTATTCTCCATTGTTCATTATTATTAACAGTTAATATTGCTCAACTCTTTCTGTTAGTTTGATGTATTATTAAGTGAACACCTAAACCCTGCATTACAAGTACTGTATGTTTTCTTCCTTAGTGCAAATAGCAGCTCTCTCTGTGTGTGATTTTAAATAAGAAAAT